CTTGTGATCTAAAAAAAACCACCACACATACCTAGAAGTCTCAGGTGTGGGAGACAAAAAAGTCTGCCCTAGGACAGACTCTACATAACTTGGAAAGCCCATAAAGAAAGAGTCGAGCCAGCAGCACTGTTGTGGCACATGTGCGCCCCACTTTTTTATGGGCTATCTGGGAAAGATTAAAGCCTTTCCCCTTCAGCCCAACATGGCAATGAATCTGGGACTGTTTCACATCGGGAGGGCACAGTGCAAGTCCAGGCTAGATGCCCATCTCTAAACAGGTTTTGCTGGGGAGTGAAGAGGGAGAACCTGAGAGTGATCGAAGGCATGCTCTCTCCCCAGGATACTGGAAACCTTCACTGCCCTGCTCCTAGACCTGCAGAAGACACAGGCACCAGCAGCTCTTGCTTCCAGGAACACTGCTCAGGTGCTCCCTGCTCCCTCTGAGCATTACAATAGTCCTAATGCAGGCTAATTGAGTGAGTTCATATGCTCAATTGGTAAAGCAATATAGGAAAACCAGATCCACTTCATTTTTATTTATAAGCATTTGGCGATGTTCCCTCTAGACCACGAAAAGTGTAAACAGAGCACCTCAGGGCAAGCTTACATTAGCGCATAACCTCTGCACAGCTATGCTTCCCTGCAGACACTGGTAACGTTTGACTGTCCTAGTAATGCTCACCATTTGGGAGAGCTTTTCACATGTATTTCACAGAAAATTTCAAGGAAGTGTACATACACATCAGTACTCTGCTTCATTAACTACACAGCTGCCGAGTCAAACAGAAATGCAGTCATGGTGTATGTCAACTTATCAGTCAGAGCTGGCAGGGAATCTCCTCTCCCTCACAGTGAAGTACAGTGTTCACAGTACTGACAGTAAGTCGCTCAGCCACAGCTGTGACCATGTGTACATGTAGGGGGCTGTGCGGAATATCCAGTCTTCACTGTTTGGTCTGCTATGACTGTAAGGAGGACAAATAAAGCCCTCACCAAATTTTCTCCATAGGGAAAAATTGAAATCATCCTATTTGGAGGCTAACAGTAAGATTCGGTAATGCTTGGGGCCCAGTCAATGGTCATGCTGGTATACTGATACCTCCAGCCTGCTCACCACTGCCGCTTTGATACAATGCTTCCGCTGTACAAGTGTTCATCGGCATCATGGAGCAGATCCTCCTAGAAAGTATGCTAGGGTACATGGAAAATAAAGGGGTGACTGGTGACAGCCAACATGGCTTTGCTAAAGGCAAATCGCACCTGACAAATTTGGTGGCCTTCTACAACAGGGTTGGCGGATAAGGGAAGAGCAACTGATGTCATCTACCTGGACTTGTGCAAAGCATTTGACGCTGTCCTGCATGATATCTTTGTCTCTAAACTGGAGAAACATGGGTTTGATGGATGGACAACTCAGTGGATCAGGAATTGGCTGGATGGTTGCACTCAAAGAGTTATGGTCAACAGTTCAATGTCTGAGTGGAGACCAGTGACGAGTGGAGGTCCTCAGGGGTCAGTATTGGGACCGGTGCTGTTTAACACCTTTGTCGCCCACACGGACAGTGGGATTGAGTGCACCCTCAGCAAGTTTGCAGATGACACCAAGCTGTGTGGTGTGGTCAACGTGCTGGAGGGAAGGGAGGCCATCCAGAGGGACCCTGACAGGCTGCAGAGGCCCGTGCCAATCTCATGAAGTTCAACAAGGCCAAGCGCAAGGTCCTGCACCTGGGTCGAGGCAATCTGAAGCACAGATACAGGCTGGGCGATGAGTGGATTGAGAGCAGCCCTGAGGAGAAAGACTTGGGCGTGCTGGTTGAAGAGAAGCTCAACATGACCTGGCAATGTGTGTTTGCAGTCCAGAAAGCCAACTGCATCCTGGGCTGCATCAAAAGAAGCGTGGCCAGCAGGCCGAGGGAGGGGATTCTCCCCCTCTGCTCTGCTCTGTTGAGAGCCCACCTGCAGTACTGTGTTCAGCTCTGGGGCCCCCAGCACAAGACAGACATGGACCTGCTTTAGCAAGTCCAGAGGAGGGCTGCAAAGATGATCAGGGGGCTGGAGCAGCTCCTCTATGAGGACAGGCTAAGAGAGTTGGGGCTGTTCAGCCTGGAGAAAAGAAGACTCCAGGGAGACTTTATAGTGGCTTTCCAGTACTTAAAGGGGACCTACAGGAAAGGTGAGGAGGGACTCTTGATCAGGGAGTGAAGCGATACGATGAGCGGTAATGGTTTCAAACTGAAAGAGGGGAGATTTAGATAAGATGTTAGGAAGAAATTCTTCACTGTGAGGGTGGTGAGACACTGGCACAGACTGCCTAAGGAAGCTGTGGCTGGCCCCCCCCCCGGCG